TCCAGATGTTACTCTGACCTCTGAGGAGCCAGGCTGGAGGAGGACAGACCCGAGGAGGACATGCTCAGGGCCCCAGGAGCAGTCCCAACAGAGAGCCCGGGGCAGGGTGGCCTGGGTGGGCTTCTGAGAGGAGGTGGCAGGGGAGCCTGGGTGGACTGAGCTCAGGCACGGGGAGTGGCTGTGCTCTTGGCCTGATGCGACTTAGGGTCATGATCACACAGCTGCCAACTCGCCCCAGGTCCTCGGCACTGGCTTCTCTCTGTGGTGAACACACGGGCACTCTCTCTCTCTCTCTCTCTCTCTATCTCTCACGTGCACACACAGCCACACTCTCCCGAAGGCTGTGTGATTCCATCTGACACGCAGGCCCTACACCCACAGGCCTGCAAAGCCGCATCAGGGCAGACTGCCTGGGAGCAGATGGGCTTACTGGTTCCTGAAGCCGGAAGGCCTGGGCTCTCATCTCAGCCTCTCTGGCTAGTAATGGTTTGACCTTATACCGATTATTTAATATTAGGCCTCAACTTCCTCATCTGCAAACTAGGCTGATGTTTCATGTGTAGGCCAGTAAAAGTCAAGTGAAATCTCTGAATGTGTGAAGGAACTTTTTAAGCCAATGGTTCTCAGCTCTGGCCATACACGAGACCCCTGGGACTTTTAAAGTCTACTGATTGCTGGTTCTGTACCAAGAGAGACCAATTTTAATGGGTCTAGGACAGAAACCCAGGGGTTGAGATAGCATAGACTCCTCTCTCCCTGCTCTTCCCCACTGAGTCCCACTGCGAGAACATGGAAATAATAGCAGATCCTCCCGGGAGAACTCTAAAGGGTGGGAAGAGGAAAGTGGACTGCCTCAGGAGCCTCGGGACTTGAGGAGAAACACAGGAGCCCCACATCTCCCGACCTCCCAAGATACAGCAGCAGAAGGTGACGAGGTAGATGTTTTCCTGCCTTGGCCACACCAGCAGATTGAGCAGGAGGCCAGTGGGCTCCCTGTAGCCTGAGAGTGGACCCATCCATGACCAGTGTTCCCACCCCACATGGTAGCAGGAGGCAAGTCTGCCCTGATGCGGCTTTGCAGGCCTGTGGGTGTAGGGCCTGCGTGTCAGATGGAATCACACAGCCTTCGGGAGAGTGTGGCTGTGTGTGCACGTGAGAGAGAGAGAGAGAGAGACAGAGAGCGTGCCCTTGTGTTCACCACAGAGAGAAGCCAGTGCCGAGGACCTGGGGCGAGTTGGCAGCTGTGTGATCACGACCCCAAGTCGCATCAGGCCAAGAGCACAGCCACTCCCCGTGCCTGAGCTCAGTCCACCCAGGCTCCCCTGCCACCTCCTCTCAGAAGCCTACCCAGGCCACCCTGCCCCGGGCTCTCTGCTGGGACTGCTCCTGGGGCCCTAAGCATGTCCTCCTCGGGTCTGTCCTCCTCCAGGCTGGCTCCTCAGAGGTCAGAGTAACATCTGGATGTTCTAGGAAGCACGTTTCACCCCCACATGTGGCACCAGTGGGGAACTAGTGGGAGCACTGACAGCACCAGGTGAATTTAGCAGAGCAGAACACCACTTTGACAGGCACCCTGAAAACTAAATTGTCATTGGAACCATAGCCCATAAAGGACCAGGCACTACATGCTAAAACTAAACAGGGTCACAGCCTGCTAAAATAGGAGACTTAAATACTATTCTGTCTCCTAACATAAAATCCAAAATATCCAGGATAGAATTGAAAAATTACTCATCACACCAAGAACCATGGAGATAAACTGTTTGGATGAGAAAAGACAGTCAATAGGTATTAACACAGGGAAGACTCAGAAGTTGGAATTATCTGACAAGGATTTTGAGTCATGCCTCATAAAGACGCTTCAAAGAGCAATGGAAAATACTTTTGAAACAACTGAAAAAGAAAAAATTCTCACCAAAGACACAGGAATTATAAAAAAAGGATCAAATGGAAACTATAGAACTGAAAAATAAAATAACCAAAGTAAAAAATTCCCTGAATGGATTCAATAGCAGAGAAGCTGACTATGACAGAGAAGGGGGATCAATGAACTCGAAGATAGGACAAGAGACGTTATCCAATCTGTACAACAGAGAGGAAAATAGAAAGAAAGGAACCTCAGGGACCTGTGGGGCAGTATCTGTCTCACTGGGCTCCCAGAAGGAGAGGAAAAAGAGAATGGGTTTGAAACAATATTCAAAGAAATAATGGCTGAAAACTTAAAAAATTTAGCAAAAGACATAAACCTCCAAGTTCAAGAAACTGAGTGAATCCCTAAGAGTATAAACTCCCAAAATCCACACCAAGACACATCAAAATTAAACTCCTGAAAATTAAGGACACAGTAAAAAACCTTGAAAGTGACCAGAGAGAAAAGACATATTACCTAAGGGGAAATACCAATTTGGCAGATTTCTCATCAGAAACCATGGAGACCTGAAGGAAATGGCACAACATTTTTCATGTGCTGAAAGGAAAGAACTGTCCCCACGATTCTATGTTCAGTGAAAATACCCTTTAGGAATGAGTGGGAAAAAAAGACATTCTCAGACAGGGGAAATCAAGAGAATTTGTCACTAGCAAACCTACCCTTAAAGAATGGCTGAAGGATGTTCTCCAAACAGAAAGGAAATGATCAAAGAAGGGGGCTCTAAACTTCAGAAAGGAAGGGGCGTTGGCATAGGTAAAAATGGGGATAAAATATAATAGACTGTCCTTCTCTTCCCGAGTTTCTTAAATCATACTGATGGCTGAAACCCACCTGATGTGGGCGCTAAAGTGGGCAGAAGAAACACCTAGGAGCACGGTGGTTTGAAGTGGGGATGGTAACGTGACCTGGTGGGAGTGAGGCCTCTGCACTGCACGTGAAGCAGTTAAACATCGCAGTTAAACGTCGCGAGCAGTCACGCAGCCGCATGCTGGGAATTGTGCCAGCTGTGCAGGTGACTGCACGTGCGCCCGGTGGAGCCCCACTGGCTTAAGAGGGGAGCGAGGATCTAGCTGAGAGTATTTGCTGTCCTTGAGGCCAGAGGGCAGCAGTTCCCAGATGTTAGCGTGGCTTGTGAGCACACAGATCCCTAGACCCCAGCCCCAGAATTCTGACGCAGCAGGTCTGGGGTAGAGCCCAAGAGTTTGCGTTTCTAACAAGTTCTCTGGTGAGGCTGACGCTAGCAGTTGGGGATCGCACTTTGAGAACCACTGCTCTAGCATCTTTGGCTGAGAAAGAGCCCCATCTCCGCTGGAAGGCCCCTCGGGATCCCAGAGTAGGTCTGGCTCTGGGCGTAAGTTAGGAAGCAGGTATTTCCTGGAGGGACCTCAGGACTGCAAGTCAGGAGACCTCGTCTGACATGCTGGGGTCCCCTTCCTGGCGAGGTGACCTCAGGCAGCCCCCTGCACGTCTCTGGGCCTCAATTCCCTCCTGTGGAGTGGGAAGAGTTGGCCAGGCCCCATGTCTGGAGGAGCCTGCGTGAGGCCGGGTGGAGCGGGCGCACTGGCAGGCCTGGCCCCAGCCCTTTCCCCACATCTGCCTTCCTGGCTCCTCGTTCATCTGTTTTGTAGATCGGGGTTCACATAAGATTTCGTGTGGCAGTGGAATTCCTCTGCTAAGAAAAGTTTGAGAACCTCAGTGTTGTAAAAGGCCCTTCTTGACCCACATCTGGAACCTTCCCATGGGCACCCGATGGCAAGTCCGTCCCCAAGGCAGGTCCCCCAGCTGAGGCATCTCCTGCAAACTGTCCTGTGTCCATGTGTGACCTTTATGGAATTTTTTCTCTGTCCTCGCCGAGTCTGTGAGGAACCCCAGAGTGGAAGGACCCGGATGAGCATCCATTGCTCAGAAGCAAGGCCTTCCTGGAAGGGGGGCAGTTCTGTGCACAGCTCCACTTCACTTTTGGAGGCACAGTCCTCGGTCCTGGGGACACACACAGCCTTGTGAACATTGAGGAACATGACCTGCTATCCCCTCTGAGGCCCCACGGGGCAGCGTGGTGACTCCCAGGAGCAAGCGTGGACATCTGGCCCTGTGCATGGTTGGCCCATTATGCTGAGTGCTGGGCCCAGCGCTGGGGTGGACACCCCCAGATGAAGCAGGTGTGACCCCCTGCTTTTTAAGGGCCCACAGGCTAGTGGAAAGACAGATATTCAGGGACCTGGGACAGGCCTCCTAAGGACGCCTCCCCCAGCGTAGGGATCCCAGGCCCTCCAGGGGGGTAGGCTCTGCTATTTCCTTCTCTTCCAGAATGCTCCCACACCACCTCTGAGCCAGGCAGGTGTTCAGGGCAGAGGGTCATGGCAGAGCTTCCTCTCTGCTCTCCCCTGGAGTGGCATTGAAGCGGTTAATTGGGAGGTCTCAAACTCCTGGGCCCACCCAGGCTGTCCAGGGCCAGAGTGAAAGGTAGGTGGACGGAGCCAGGAAAGGCAGCCCCACCTGACTCTGAGGCCAGTGTTTCCAAGAGCCCTTTGTTATTTGAAGAGATGTGAGAAGTTAGGGCTGTAATACGAAATCCCCCAACTGTAAACATGTGAAGATTTTTTGAAAAATAAAATTGTCTCCAGGTCCCATTTGCTTGGCGGTGGCCTCCACTTGCCGCCTCTGGCATGGGATGGCACAGCCCTACCTGTCCCACAAGGTCCCACGACTGGGCTTCTTCTTACTCTGCCCCCAGCTCTTCTGGTCTGTAAAGTGAGGGGCTTGGCCTGGGTATCAGGGGGTGTCCAGGCCCCCAAGCCTGTCAGTGTGCATGGGGGCCTGCGGGGCTGTGGTTGAGGCTCCGTGCTGCTCCCTGTGTCATGGGCAGGCTCGGGGCATCACCCCTCCATGGCTTTGTAGTTGGTGCCTTGGGGACAGGAGGTCACAAGAGAGGCAGGACATGATCCTTGGGGGTCTCCCACAAGTCACCTGCCTAGCCCTGCCCACCTTGGCGGCAGCCCACCCTGGGCCGCGCCCTTCCTGGCTGCATCGAGTCTGCGCGCGTGACCAAGCTGTGCTGTGTCTGTTTCAGGATCCCCCTATTCCAAATCTGACTCTCTCCCAGGACATGGAAAGAATGGCTTGGACCAGCGGGTAGGTACTCGCCCCCTCCCCGGCATACTAACGATAGCTGTGAGTCTGAGCACACTCCCCACAGCTTCCTGACCACACAGCAGGAGGAGAGGCCCGGGGACCGCCCTGCCTGCTTCCGCCTGACACTCCACTGGGGCTGCTGCTGCCACCGCTGCTTTTTCCACACCAGGACCGAACCAGACTGGGCACCACCCTTCCTCCCCCTGTGCCCCCGCCCCAGGCCCAGGGACCTCAGTGTGTGGGCAGGGGAGATGGGGACCACCCAGAGTGACCAGCCTCTGCTCTAGGAAACCCCTCCTGACCCCTCTCCTGTGCCGCAGAGCCTCACAGGAGCCTTCAGGGGTGATCACATGGCACCAGCCAGGGTGAGCCAGGTGCCCACTTCCTTGCTGGAATGCCACAGGCCCACCAACGTTGCTGCTGGGACCACCACTAAGTACCATTAGCACCTACGACGATCGTCCAAGACTGCAAAGACTGGGCCAACTCGTCGTTAGGCTTTCTTTGGCCACTCCCAGCTGACGTCTGGTCGGATCCCCTGTCCTGAGTCTTCTGCAACGGGACATCTGAATGTGAGCCCAGATCGTTTGGTGCCTGGCTGTCCCCGCAGAGCGGCCAGTGGCGTTCCAGACCAGGAAGTTGGCACTTGGCTCACTTTGGCTCGTGAAATGCCCTGGGACGGTTAGTCCCTGTGTTTCATCCTCTTCTCACAGCGTCACCAGGTCTCCTGTGAGGATCCCTGGGGTGGGAAAGGCCTGATGGCACCAGAGCCTCCGACACACACACGTACCTACACGTGCACACGAACGCACACACACGCACACACCCACACACCCACACGTGCACACACGCACAGACATGCACACACGCACACATCCCCACATGCCCACATGTGCACACACGCACACAGACATGCACACGTGTACACACACATGCACACAGACATGCACACACACACACACACGTGGCCTAGGAGACCCTCCACTGCCCAAGGCAGCCTCTTCCCAGTCTGAGAACATTTTTCCACAGACAAAGGCAATTCACTTCTCCAAAGAGGCCCGTAAGAAACTGAGCCCCCATTTGCTGCACTGGAGCAGTCCTGGTAATAAGTGTGTGACCGAGGGCAGCCTCCCCTGGATGCATCTGTTTCCAGGGTCAGGCCACAGGCTGCCATCTCTAGGAGCTGCGGGGCATCCTCCTGGGCCAGCCTTTGTTCTCTGTCTTCTTCGGGCTCTGTCCGACCCGCTGTTGTGCTTTTGTCCAAGGCCCAGCCTCCTGGGGTCTCCCTCAGGCCCAGCCACCTCTGCATGGTTTGATTCAAGTGAACCCCAACCCCCACCCCACTAACCACTCTTCCTGTTCTGGAATGGGCCAAGTCGGGGACATGCATGTGGCATGCTTCTTTAAATTTTCTTCAAAGGATTTCTCTACCCTTCATCTTCCACACACAGAGCAGGGGCTTAAGAAAGCTGGGCCAATGTCCACAGGACCCCTGCGACACCAGGACATGTAAATCCTGGCCTAAGGTCAGTGTTAGGGGGTCCTGAGGGCAGTGGGAAAGCTGTCTAGAATGTTCTCTTCTCGCCTGGAACAGCTGTTCTCTCACCCTGGGCAGGTGAGCACAGTGTTTATGGTCTGGACCAAGCCAAGGTGCTCCCCTAGCCCAGCAAGTCCTGAGTATGCAGAAGAGTAAGAGAAAAGCTTCCTCCTCCTTTCTTCCTGTGTTCTTGATGCCCAGACTGTGCGTCCTCTAGGAATTTCTTCTCTTAGTTCACTTGCTAAAGTGACACAGATTGCGGCCTCTCGCATCTGCAGAGAAGGTCGTGGTCCCCAGACGCTCCACTGCCCAGGGGAGTTTGAGAACAGCTGACACAGACAGTCTGGCCAGGACGGTCTTCATTTCCTCTCCCAGAACCATCAGGAGCAGAATCTTAAGCTTTGTGGAATTCAGACCTAAGTCCTCTGCGAATGTGTTTCTCCTGTAGCCTGCAGGGTGGGAAGGAGAGGGTTAGAGGCCTGTGTGCCTGCTGCGTGCGCTTGGAGAGTCAGCAGAGGCAGAAGTCACCCCGCGGAGGTCCTCAGCTTTCACACGGCTTCTGTGGGAGATCGGTGACTGCGACGGATGACTCTGCTTTGGGATTCTTTTTTCCCTACTAATGTTCTTTCCTATTTTCGTCACTCTTTGAAAGACTTTTATGTACTTTTATGCCTGTTTCTCAGCAGGAAGGTGAGATACTTGATCTTTCAAGTGTCCAGCCTTGTCCGGGGCAGCCACACCCAGCACCTGCACTGTCGCCCCCGTCCTGGAGATCTCCAGCGAGTGCCGTCTGTGCCCCATTGGCGCTGGCCCACAGGGCTCCAGAGTTGTTTGTTAGGTTGTTTCTTGGTTTGGTTTTACTTCCAGAAAGGATTCTGGGTGGCTTAAAGTAAAAGGACAGATGTAGTGAGACCAAAATGCCATTAACATGAAATCACAAAGGAAGAGAGGAGGAAACTATGAGAGAAAATTATATCAAAACCAAAAAAGGAATATTATATGAGAAAAGCTATCAAAGCTTAGCTCCGAGCTTCCTGATAGCCAAGGCATAGAGGCAACCATGACCGGCTATGCAGTTCCCACTGTCTGGTGGGAGAAGGGAAATTAGTTTATCGGGGAGGCAAAGATATTCCTGGGTCTTGCTCCAAGAAGAATTTGTTACAAGGGTCCGGGGATCCTGCACCATATATCCCACAGGCCATTAAAATGTCCTGATAACCAGGCCTGCTGCAGCACCTGACACTTGGTAGGTGCCCAAAACCTACCCATGAAGTCAACGGGGGAACAGCCAGATGAGGCAGTGGTGATTCTGACATCACCACCTGTTTGCTACTAAGGGCCTGAGCACTGGCCGGCAGCAGATCCTCGTGGTAGCTCCCTGAAGTCCCATTTTGAAAGCGCCTGATGCTAAATGTGAAGAGACTGATTGGATTTTCTTTAAAAAAAAAATAGCATGTATTATTACAAGATTCATTCTCAAAATTATTTTTAAAGGATTAGAAGTAAAAGAATGAGCCGGGCGCAGTGGCACACACCTGTAGTCCCAGCTACTTGGGAGGCTGAGGCAGGAAGATCACTTGAGCTTAGGAGTTCAAGACCAGCCTGGGCAACATAGCAAGACCTGTCTCTTAAAAAAAAGAGAAATGCTAAAATCACGAATATATGGAAAGCAGAAGTGATAATACTAATATCAGATAAGGTGGAAGTTAAGGTTAAAAGAAATTAATAGAATTAATAGTATAAAGAGGGGACACTAATTCATGATGAAGGCATAAATTTAATTAAGCAGTTTTAGCATTCAAAAACTGAAGTGCATTAAGCAACATGGCAATGCCAGACACCTTGATAAACTACAAGTATGATAGGTGATTTGAATGTGACTCTCGAATAAGACATATGGATCAAAAAATAACCAAAAAGTACATAAAGTAATTGAATAGTGCAAACAGCAAACTTTAATAGGTATATGAAAAAAATTTGTGTCTTTCGAATCAGTTTTTCACATGTTCATAAAATGTTTATAAAAGTATTTATATGGCCGGGCGCGGTGGCTCACGCCTGTAATCCTACCTCTCTAGGAGGCTGAGGCAGGCGGATCGTTTGAGCTCAGGAGTTCGAGACCAGACTGAGCAAGAGTGAGACCCCGTCTCTACTAAAAACAGAAAGAAATTGGCCAAACAACTAAAAATAGAAAAAAAAAAAATTAGCTGGGCATGGTGGCGCGTGCCTGTAGTCCCAGCTACCTGGGAGGCTGAGGCAGGAGGATCACTTGAGCCCAGGAGTTTGAGGTTGCTGTCAGCTAGGATGATGCCACGGCACTCTAGCCCAGGCAAGAGAGTGAGACTCTGTCTCAGAAAAAAAAAAGTGTTTATATGACTACAGAGAACTGTAACAAATCAGAGAAGTCTGTTATTTCCAAATGGCGATGCTGGGAAGGACACACCTGTTAGCATTAGACAGCTCTGAGTTCAAGTCCCTGCTCTGTCTTTAGGGAAATTACCTAAATTTTCTGAGTCTCTATTTTCTAGTCTTTAAAAAAATGATTCTTACCTCCTGAGGTTACTTTGAGGGAAAATAGCATTATGATTGTGAAATCTTTTTGTAGGCTCCATAGCATGGTTCCCGCATGAGCAATTGTTTAAAAATCAAGTCCCTACTGCCTCTCACTTTCACAGACGTGGCTGCTGAGTGAGATGGCACATTCCAGTGTGCGCTTTTGCAAGAAAAGGCTGGTGGCAGCCACAGTCTCAGTTCCTGTTAGCAGTCCCAGTATAATTTTTGGAACATAAAATACATGGGTTCGAATTTTTACAGTCCCATGTATTTGTTGTGTGATTTGGGGCAATCTTGACTTCTCTGAGCCACATCTGTAAACTGGTGACAATGCTGCCCACCTCCCAGAGTTGCCAGCACACACTGAGTGCCGTGCAGATGGAGAGGTAAACGATTTGTTGCTTTGAAAATCTCTGGTGCCTCCATCAGGAACTATAGGGGAGTCAGCCAGGAATAACCCAGGTGGTGCTGCCTTTGTGTGTCCCCTGGACTCTTGGCTGTCCTGCCAGCCCACACACCAAGGCAGTAACACAAGAGCCCTGCACCTGAGAGGTTCTGTATAGCCCACCTCCACTCTGCACTTGGAAGATGGGGGTGGACTCCACTTCCCCTGCTCTGGACCTATCCGATGTTCCCCTGCCTTCACTTGGAAGATGGCTCATCTCCCTCCTGGAGTCTCTGTCTTGTCTCAGAGCCTGAACATCAGGGGAAGCTGATTTTGCTGCTAGGAAGTGAGTTAACAACGGTCCAAAGGGAAGGAGGTGGCCTGAGAGTTTTCGAGGCCTGTGACGCAGGCCCGCGGCGCTAGGGGGCAGCATTTCTCTTCCCATCAGACGGGCCAGGCAGCAGGACGGTGGCACACAAGGGGGTTCCTTGGCCAGGACAGGTGCACCTGGGGGTGCTAGTCTGAGACTGAGAAAATGTCTCAAAAATTATTCTTGGAAACTCCTAAAAGTTCTTTTGTGAAGTGGCAGAGGCAAGAGGCCATGGAGAGGACCCCAGCTCAGGGTCCAGGGCCAGGATCGGCATGAGGCGAGTGAGGCACTAACCAAAAGACACAGCCATCAAGACATTTTAACACAGTATTGTTAGAAATCCAAAGTAATGCAAGAAATTCCATGATGAGCAAAATATAAACAATTTAAAGACCAGTTCCAACCCTCGGGCTTCGTGCTCACCCCACTCATGAGCCTGGGCCCAGCCTGGTGAGTCCAGCTCTGGGACAGCAGGAAGGTCTGGCTTCTCTCTGAGCCTCAGTTTCCCTGTTCAGATGAAGGGCTTTGGAGTCAGAGCTCTCTGAGGTCTCCTTGTGCTCCTGCACTCTCTGGACTGTCACGGGCGCCTCACTTACCGCCTACTGCAGTGCTGTGCTGAGACTGTCCCCGGTAGCAGACCCACCAGGTTAAGCATACAATGCCCTTTCAGCTGTAGAACTCTCTCCGTGGAACTTTAATCCCTGTACCCAATTTCAGAAGCACTGGCCAGGAGCCCTGATTCCATTTCAGACCCCATACCAGGTGCTGGGGATCCCGGTCCTGGGCATGAATAAGGCATTTTCTTCAAGGGGCTCCGTCCACTGTGGGCAGCTGCTGCAGCACCGCAACAGCGTGGCTTGTGGTGCAAACACCAGGTGCCAGAAAGGGGCAGAGGATGAACAGGAGAAGGACTGGCTATCTGCTGCAGCAGCTCGATGCTTTACAGCATGGGACCCTGCACAGAAGTTTGCAGGGTGTGTGGAAGATGTTTTTGGGTGGGCAGAAGGAAAAGAGAACTCCAGGCGTTGAGGGTCGCAATGCACTGAAGTGGCTCCTGAATGCCATGGGCATCTGAGACAGGTGGCAGGACCCTTAGCTTCACAGCCCTGAGAGTGTCACCCCATGAGTGTCATTGTCAGAGGCCAGCCACTCTGTAGGGTGTGCTTACAACACACACGGCTTTGCGCCAGGGCTTTACAGACACCTGGCTGCTTTAATGCTCAAAACAGTCACACACAGAGCTGCTGTTAGTGTCATGGTTTCTGGGGAGGTGGGACCCCCCGCCTTGTCATGGGGTGGATGGGCTCTGACTCACACACACAGCTGTGTGCACCAGTGCAGCTCTGGGAATAGAGTAGAAGTTCCACGAGACAGTGTCTAGTCCAGGAAACCGTGGCTCATGCTTTCTCCCCAGGCATCTTGCAGGGGACAGAGGGCCCAGCGTGGAGCCTGGGACTCCCCGAGCGCCTGGGGATAGCAGGTTCTAGGAGCTGCACTCAGGAGCCCACCATGTGAGGAGCAGAAGCCCCACAGATCACGAACCCGGGTCCACAGAGCGCCATGCCTCTCGCAGCATGAGCAGAGGGAACAGTACTGAGCCAGCGCGGTGGTCCACATCAGCTGCAGAGCGGGGGACCCAGGCACCTGGGAGCGGCTGTCAGAGGGGGTCGGAATTGACCAGACAGGCAAGGTCAGCAGAGGCCTCCCGCAGCAGGTGTCCAATGAGCAAACCCACTGAGCATGACAGCCATGGTCCCACAGGTGCAGCATCCTGATGTCCCCTTCCAGAGCCACCGTCGTCCCTCTGTCACCTAGGCCCCACTGCTGTGCTGCAGCTGACACGCTCCTCCCCAGGCTGTGCGAGGACCAAGGCCATGAGGAGGGGTTGTATCCTGGCCCCTGCCCGCCCACCCTTGTGCCACCTGCCTCTTGCCGCCCACTCTCTCTTTCTCTTCCAGAATGCCAACCTGGCCCCGTGTGGAGCAGACCCGGATGCCAGCTGGGGCATGCGAGGTACACGGCCCGGGGACCCTGTGGGTCTCTGGCGGGGGCAGGGGTTGCTAACAAATTTCCACAAGTCTCATTCTGAAGACACCCCGGCAGGGGCCTGCTGGTGGAAGGTGCCAGGCGCGGTGGGCAGGGGCACTGTCGGGGGAGGGCATGCTCATTTCCCCCCGTCTGCCAGGCAAAAATCAGTTTCCTTCCACTCCAGCACTCCAGGATGTTCTCCCTCCTGGCTGGTGTGGCACTCCACGTCACTTGGGGAAACCGAGTCACAGTCAAAAGGCTTCCAGTCTGAGTGGAAGGGGAGTCGGGTCAGACCCTACCTCCACCCTTGCTGGTCATGCAGCTTCAAACTGGGAGGGCTGCTGGGAGGTTGGTGTTACCAGAGTGGCCAGCCAGTCACGTGCCAGTGTCTGGCAGGAGGCAGGGCTCACCCCCTGGTCACTCCTGAGAGTGACAGGGGAGCTTGGCTCTCGTGGACTGGTTTGCACGTGGGTGACAGTGTCTGGGCGCTGTGGCTCACTCCCTCTAAGTGGCTTTCCAAGTCGCTGGGCCTCGGAGTTGGCACATCTGGAACTACACATGGCATGTGGGGAAACTCAGGGACTGGCCCCTACTCGGGATCTCCCTTCTGAGAGGGCTGGAGGCCCAGGTCGTGGAGACCTGCTTCCCATGGGTTGTGTGCGCATGGAGGCCCTACTCTCCATACTATTTTATTTTTTCAGTAAGATGCTTTTAGTCTGGACGTAGAACATTTTAAAAGCAAGGGTGCAAAGCTCAGTCGTTTAAAAAGGAGGAAGGAAAGAGTTAAGAGGGTAAGACAGTGAGAGACGGAGTGTCAGACCACAGAGGGATGTCAGTCTCCACAACACCCCACAGGTTTCCCAAGAATGCCCGTTGCGCAGGTGGGAAACTGAGGCTGAGGAGCACAGGGCGCTGTCAGCTTCCAGTCTGGCCTCCAGCCCGGCCACACCCTGCTCTGGGTTTCCTGCTGAGGCCCCCAGAGCCCACCTCCTGCAGCCAAGATTAGAGCCCAGTGCCGGCTGCTCAGGGATGGGCCTGGCCAGCAACTGCAGGGTGGGGACACAGGGGCCCCCAGGGTGGGACTGCGTCCACCTCGAGAAGAGTTATTGCACTTTCTAAACAGCCCGTGGTCTCCGCTCTCTCTCTTACAGAATACAAGGTAAGAGGGGCCGCGCTCTCACACTGACCTCTCCATGCCGCGCCACACCTGCCCAGGTTAAAGTTCCTTTCTGTTGTGCTTTCCCTGTGAAATGTGTGTGTCAGATGGAACGCAAGTATGTATTCCCAGGTGGCCTCTGCTCAGCTCTTTGGTGCCAGTGCACACTTGCTCCGTGAGATGACTCTGTGGTTTCCTCCCCGACAGATCTATCCTTACGACTCGCTCATCGTAACAAACCGAATCCGTGTGAAACTGCCCAAAGATGTGGACCGGACGAGACTGGAGGTAGGAACTGGCCCTGGGGGTCTCCACAGATGCCTTTTCCACACCGTCAGAGTCACCACCCGAGGGCCACGTGGGGACCGAGTTGCTTCACAGGCCACAGCAATGATGGCTTCGCAAGGGGGCACTTGGATGGGGCGGGGAGGCCTTTGTAACAGTGACTTGCTCCACGGAGTCGTCTCCGCTGAGCGCCGGAGCTGGGAAACCTGCTCCAGCTCCCGGATGGCCACAGCCTCCTGGGTTCTTCCCACTTGACCACGTTGTCACCTGTCTGGAATGATCTGAGGATCCGCGGAAAGCAAGTGTGTGTTTAAAAGTCCAAACAGGAGGTCAGCACAGAGTAGGTGTTGGGATAACATTTGCTGACTAAAACGACTAGCTCTGCTGAGTACCTACTGTGCCCAAAGTGCCACGCGTGACACTGTTTAATGCTCACAGCCATCCTAGAGTCAGCAATGTCCAGCCCGTGCGATTTCCTCTCCTGAGCCCTTTCATGGGTGTGTCCCTGCCTTTTAATGACTCTTTTGCTGAGGGAAAGAGGTCTCAAGGCTCCTGAAGGGCAGGGCCGTCCGGCCCCATCTGTGCCCCAAGGCTGGGGCGTGTGTGAGGCCCCTGGTGCACAGGGCCAGCTGCCTGACCCTGCCTGACCTGCCTGAGTGGGCAGGGCTCAGCCTGCTGCCAGGAGAGGAAGCAGGAGGGCTGGACTCGGCAGAGCCCCAGGGCTTGGGGCTCTCCAGGAGGGGGTCTGGGGAGGCATTCCAGGCCAAGGGAAGCCCTGTCAAATGCTTGGGGGTGCTGGGCGGAAGGGCGCCCCAGTGGCGTTGAGCAGGCACCAACTTTCCTGCACTCGCCGGCTGTGCACTCTCACGCCTCAGTTTCTGCACCGTTGAGATCAGGATGTTGGTGTCCATTTGAGTGGGTCGCTGTGCGGGGAGATGTCAAGAGGTTTTGCGAAGCCCTTTGCCCAGGGCCTGGAAAACAACACTCCCTTAGTGCAGGGTAGTGGCGAGGAGGAAGGGGACAGGGATGCTGGTGTGGCTGCAGCACTGGGGAGGAGGTGTATCCACTTTGACCCTCTTTGTTGTGAATGACAGGAACCTGGCCCAAAGTGACTTATTGGCTCTCATGACTGAAGGTCCCCTTCAGGTGTGGCTTGATCAAGGGCTAAATGATGTGTCCAGCACACAGTTTCTTTCCTTCCTTCTCTTGACCGTTCCTCCTCTGCACCACTCCAGTGATAGCTAGACTTCTGCCTCACCTCTCTCAGGCTCTACGTCTGCAGGGCAGAGACCCGTATCTCTCTCTCTCTCTCTCCGTCTCTCTCTCTCTCTCTCTCTCTCTCTCTCTCTCTCTCTCTCTCTCGTCCTCTGGGTGGGTCATATGACTACCCCTGAATCCCCCAGACTGACCCAGGGGATGTTGTGCCCTAGCTGGCCAGCGTCAGCCCTATGCCCAGGCCTATGCCTGGAGCTACCTGAGCTGGGCAGTGGCTGCTAGAGGAAGCTCCAAGACCTGGTACCTAAAGATGGGGAAGAGGATGCTGGGCAACAGGCAGCAAATGTCCACTGGCAGGGAGGGGCAGGTGAGACTGGGGGGAGGGGGTGACAGCACAGCAAGCTCTGGACCACCCGGCCGGTCAGTGCTGTGGACCCACGGCGTGTACTGAGCACCCCACATGTGGGGCCATTTGCTAGTGCAACATTTGTTTGAATTTTACCCTACAGAAGAGGAAAGTTCTAATGTGTTGGGATGTGTGTGGCCATCCGTGGGAGAGGCCGGGCCACAGGGGTCGGCTGGGAAGCTGGTGTGTGCGTCGGGGTAGGGGTGGGGGGAGCCCCCGGTGCTAGGTGTGCAGATCAGACTGGAATGTGTGCTGAGTGAGGGCACAGAGGAGGCCCCGAATCCAGCAGGGCCTCTGTCTCCTCCTGAAGCCTGGGTCCTCGACTGCCTCTGCCAGGGGTCACGTATGACTGGCCCCGGCAGCCAGGGAAGGCGCCCACGCTGGCTTTTTGTGCGTGTAACTCCGGCACCCTAACTGCCTGCAGGGGAAGTGTTCTTCAGCGCCTGTGGCAGTTGGGTCCTTGTTAATTGTGGTTCAAGTCCAGTGTAAACACCACTGTAGTAAAACCGGTGCTTCGGGCTTCTGGGTCAGAACTGCCTGGAGGTATTTGCTGTATTTGCCAGGTGCCTTTGTTCCTTGCAGGGTGTGTCCCCTGCGGGTGCTGGAGTTGATTGCTGTCACCAAGAGGGGTGAGCTCAGACTAGGTGCCCAGCAGGTCCTGGCACGGCAGTGGCCTTGGGACCAGGAGCCTGTTGGAACTCACCTACAGCCCTCTTGGGACTGGGGTGTGCTTTACATCCGCGGTGCCCACCCGCTGGCCTCCACCGCGCACCACCGCCGAGCTCCACACCACCCCCACCCCTGGTCTGCAGAAAAATGGTCTTCCATGAAACCAGTCCCTGGTGCCAAAAAGTTGGGGACTTTAAACGACTTCTTTTTTACCTTTTTTTTTCTTGCTACAATACAGAATGAAAGTTTCAAAATACCAAGGGGTTAACATATGTAAATGTATCCTTTTCAAAACTCTCTGACACCTGGGTAATGGGTTTAATCATTCAAATCTCCAAGAACACACCCAAGGGTGGGACACTAGTTCCTCCTCAAGCTGAGCCAAGCAGAGGGACTGGAAATGTTGGCACTGTGGGCCACATCCCTCCGGGTTGGCCCAGCCTAGGGATGCCAGCCAGAGGGCTCAGGGGGCCATCTCCCAGCAGGAAAGGGAGGGACCCCTGATGCTTTTATTTCAGGGGAATGAGCTTTATCTTTAATATAAAAACAATTCATAACTATTGTAAAAGTCCAGAAAAATACAAAGAAGAACCTAAAAATCTTGTGGAATGCCCCCACCCAGTCCTAACTGCTAACTGTGGTGGACATGCTTCTGGAACTCTCTTTTTTGCACATGCACTTGGAGATAAGCAAATCCTATTTTGGATGAATAGGCTTATGCTGTAGATGCAGTATGACGTCCTGTTTTTTGCTTGCGAATTTGACGTGGACATTTTCCGCCGTTAGTGTGGATCTGCCCCACCTTTTGAATGGCCAGGGGGTGGGCCGCTGGGAACGCGTTTCCTGTGTGGGAGGGTCCCAAGGGCCCGGCTGTGGAATGACAGGCCTCACTTTAACTCACAGCCATTGGCTGGAGCCCAGTCTCAAAGCTCCCGTGGAGGCGGCTGGGAAGTGCAGCCAGGACGAGGAGCAGAGGGTGTGGGTGGACCTCAGCGGAGTCCATCCCTCCGTCGGGCCGGCCCTGGAAGGAGTAGTGTGGCCAGTGGTCAGTGTGTGGCAGCAGTCCCTACCCCCACGGTGCTCAGCTGAGTCGCCATTCATTCAGTGACCATGCGCCAGCGCCTAGAGGTGTCTGGTGAGCCAAAACGGCCTGAGCTCTGCCCTCTGGACGCTCAGTGTGACACAGGAGACAGAGGCCATCCACTAATGACCCAAACGAGTACACGTACTTACACACCGACACCAGGCCTCTGAGGGGGAAGAACATGGGCCTGTGAGCATTTAAAATGTGTAAAAGTTAACTGGGCGAAATAAGTGTGCGCACACGTGCGTGTGCATGTGTGTGTTTTGTGAGTGAGGTGAGAGATGGCAGGCAGAAAGAGAATTCTAGGAAGAGCAAACTGCATGTGCAAAGGCCCTGGGGCAGGAGGGATCCTTGGCTGTCTAAGGAAGTGTAGGACTACTGAGGTGTCTAGACCTGAGCAGGGGAAGGTGAGGACGGGCCAGGCCCTGTAGGGCCCTGGGCCATGTTAAGCAGTTTGGCTTTTAGCCTAAGAGCAATGGCATTTAATTTGGGGACCATGTTATCAGGTGTGCAGTTTGAAAAAACCCTGTGGCTACATTGTGACGCTCAGATTGGCTGTGTATATGGGGAGACTGTTTAGGAGCCATTTGGGTGGTAGGGGTAAGAAGTGATGGCATCTTGGACATGGGTGGTGGCATTGCTGCGGGTGAGACTTCTTTGGGAAGTCAAGGGGCATGACTCAGTGATGGACGTGCATGGCAGTGAGCAGGGAGGAGCATTCCAGCTGCGACTTCAGGCTGCCTGGGAGGGGTGGTGGGTGGAGTGGCAGTCCCTCCACAGCAGGATGTGCCCGGACACCATTGCCACTCTGGCCTCTGAGGCATGGCCGAGGGGACTCAGGCTGCTCAGCCTGGCAGCAGGGGAAGGTACCATGGAGGTGCCTGGTAGCACATAGTAGGTGCTCAGTCAATGTGGGTGACTTATGAAGGAGTATGGAGGAGCCTCGATCATCCTCTCTGGTTCTGGAAGGGCCGTCACGTGGAAGAGGAGCAGAAGAGTTGTGAGATGCCAGGGGGCACAGCAAGGATCCGCGGACATAGCCCCTGAGCAGCAGAGCTGAGATTCAAGGTGTCACTCGGAGCCACTACGCTATGCTGTCTTGCTGGGTAATTACAGCACCGAAATGACTTTCTGACCCTCCTAGGTGCCCCCAGGGCCCCAGTGCACACATACAGCATTTCGCTCCTTAGGCCAGAAAGCGTGTCAGCCAGCGCTCTCCAGAGAAGCAGAACAATTAGAGACAGACAGACACACACAGATATATGTTAAGAAATTTATTTTATGAACTTGGCCTGCGCAAGTGTGTGGGCTGCAATTCTGACATTCGTAGGATCGGCCAGCAAGCTGGAGACTCAGGCGGGAGTTGCCGCCTTGAGGCAGTTTCTTCTGGGGGAAACCTGTTTTTACTCTCACGGCCTTCAATGGATTGGATGAGACCCAGCCACGTTATCGAGGGTAATCTTTACTTAAAGTCAACTGCCTGTCGACAGTGACTATGTCTACAAAATGCATTCACGGCAATTCCTGGACTATGTCCAACCGGACAGTTGGGCCCAAGCAAGTTGACGCTTAAAACGTAACCGTCACAGGCAGCAAAGTGAGGGGGTAGGAAAGGGGCCTCTTGTCCAGCCCCTGTGTCCAGGTGAGCCCCTTGAGGTCAGTTGCTGCTGGGTCACACCTCGAGGCCTTCCTGCGTGCTCAGCAGGCCGGGGCTGCGAGGAGGCTGTGGGCTCTTGAGCGGCCTCTTCCACACCCTGCGGCTAAGCACACACCCCAGTGTGCTCCGGCAGGAAGAGCCTGCGTTGTTGGAATGCACCTGAAAAGCAAGGCCCTGCAGTTAAAGAATATCTCCTTTGTTTAAACCCACCGGACCGGTCTGAGGAGAACCGTGCACCCTGATAGACTGATGGGTTTAGGAGCCACGTGGGTGTGCCTGAGGGCTGGGTTTGCACCAGAGTCCAGGCTCCGTGGCCTCCCTGGCTGAGACGCTCTGGAGAAACCCAAGCGGACCTGTGCGGCTGAGAGGAAGCGCTGGAGTCCGGAGCAGCCGGAGAGTGCGGGCCGGAGGCCAGCTGGGGCAGGGCCTCACAGGCCAGGCCAGGGCCAGGGAGGGCACGGGCAGTGCAGGAGGGGGTCCTGGGGGCAGATGTAGATTCACAGATACAAACAGACAAGGCAGACTGACCTTGCCTTCAGTAAGGGTGGGAGGGTGCGGCAAGCAGACTGAACGGTGCCCACCCTGCTTGTAGCTGAGAGCCAGAGGAGGTCTGGCCGGGTCACAGTGCCCCTCTCCTGGAGGGTGCCAGTCACCATTCACAGCAACTTCAGAAACCACCTGTGAGCTCCTGCCCACACGAGCCCATGGCCATCGCCAGCAGCGCCAGGGCCGCCAGCACCCACACCCTCACCCTGCTGCCCTTCCCTGCCCTGCCGTCCTTCCTGCTCAGCCACCAGCTCCAAGTCATCCCTTGGGAGGCTCCCACCGTTTGGCACACGCACGGCTGTGCTCCTCCCCCCTGCAGCATGCAGTGCATGGCTGCCCGCCGTCCACTCTCTGTGCCCCTCTCCTCCTCCTCCATTGTGGTGACCAGCAAAGACCCAACCCTGGTGAGACCCAGCGGACCACTGGCTTGCCCGTCTTCCTCCCTTTAGACACACGGTCACGGGTAGCAAGGGCACCGGGCACTGCCGGGATCCTGCCGTGCCACCTCACTAGGGACCTTCCTGCCACCCCCTCTGCCACCTCTGTGCCCCTCCCCTGCCTCAGACCCCATCGTGGGGAGGGGCCTCCACAGCAGAAGGCAGGGCCATGTGGCAGGGAGCCCACCGGTACCGGTGCAGGGTCTGGACTCTCCTCACACTTCAGCGCTGTCCTTTCTCTTGTTCGCTCCACACCTGCTAAGCGCCCCCAGCCCACCCACACGAGAGGCGGTGTCGGAGCGAGGTCTGGCCTGTCGCGGGCCCTCAGCCAACATTCACTGGGGAGCAGTGGGAACAATCTCCCTGCATGGCTCCTTTGATCTCACCCGTCTGGATTGTAACTCAGAAGGTGGTACTCGGGGCCTGCAGGTGCAGGGCTGCAGACGCACATGACCCAGCCAGCGTCTTAAATGTGTCGAGAGACACAGTCTGGAGTGGCGACTCTAAGCCTCTGTGGACTGGGCTGTGGATTTCTCAGCACACCAAGAACCCCCAACTCAGCACCGCGCAAATGGTTAATTTCTGGCAAGCACCAGGGTTCTTTTCCCGATAGCAGCAGGCAGCTGAGGGCCCCTTCCTGGCAGAGACTTGCTGGATACGCTGTGACTGCGAGTGTGTGAGTGTGAGTGTGAGTGTGTGTGTGAGAGAGTGTTAGTGTGAGAGTGTGTGCAAGAGTGTAAGTGTGTGTGTGTGATTGTGTGAGTGCAAGAGTGTGCGTATGTGTGTATGTGGGTGTGTGTGAGTACATGTGAGTGTGAGTATATGTGTGTATGTGAGTACACATGTGAGTATATGTGTGAGTGTATGTGTGTGTATGTGTGAGTGTGAGTATATGTGTATGTATCAGTGTGTGTATGAGTATATGTCAGTGTGTGAGTATATGTGTATGTATAAGTGTGTGTGGGTACATGTCAGTGAGAGTGTGAGTATATGTCAGTGTGTGTGAGTGTATGTCAGTGTGTGTGTGCTAGTGTGAATGTGTCAGTGAATGTGTGTGAGTGTGGGTATATGGTGTGTGTGTGAGAGAGCATACCTGTGCGTGTGCTTGAGTGTGGGTATATGTGTCAGTGTGTGTGAGTGCGTCAGTGTGTGTGAGTATATGTGTCAGTGTGTCAGTGTGTGTCAGTGAGTGTGTATCTGTGTCACTGTGTGTCAGTGTGAGCATATGTCAGTGTGTGTGAGTGTGTCAGTGTGCGAGTGTATATGTCAGTGTGTGTGAGCGTATGTGTGAGTGTATGTGTCAGTGTGTGTGAGTGTATGTGTCAGTGAGCATGTGAGTATATGTGTCAGTGTGTGTGTGAGTATATGTGTCTGTGTGTCAGTGTGTGTGTCAGTGTGTGTGAGCATGTATGAGTGTGTCAGTGTATGTGTCAGTATTGTGTGAGAGTGTCAGTGAACGTGAGTATATCTGTCAATGAATGTGTGTGAGCATATGTGTCAGTATGTGTGTAAGTGTGGGTATGTGTGTGAGTATATGTATCAGTGTGTGTGTGTATATGTGTGATGTGCATGAGTGTGTGTGTGTGTGTATGTGTCAGTGTGTGTGAGCATGTGTCAGTATGTGTGTGCGTGTGTGTGAGTATATGTGTCAGTATGTGTGTGAGCGTGTCAGTGTGTGAGTATATGTGTCAGAGTGTGTGTGTCAGTGTGTGTGAGCATATGTGTCAGTATGTGTGAGTGTGGGTATATGTGGGTGTGAGTGTGCCTGAGTGTGTGTGAGTGTGAGTATATGTGTGAGTGTGTGTGAGCGTATGTGTGTGTGAGCATGTGTCAATATGTGTGTGAATGTATGTGTCAGTGACTGTGTGTGTGTGAGTATATGTGTCAGCGAGTGTGTGTGTGAGAGTGGGTATATGTGTGTGTGTGAGCGTATATGTGTGTGTGAGCATGTGTCAATATGTGCGTGGGTATGTGTGTGTGTGAATGTATGTGTCAGTGACTGTGTGTGAGTGTATGTGTCAGCGAGTGTGTGTGTGAGTGTGTGTGTTTGACTCCTTGCCCAGATTCAGTTAGGACATGGCCTTGTGCGGATTCTTGAGTGTCCTCCTCCAGATCAGCACAACAACTGATTCTAGAGCCCAGCGCGTGCTGCGTAGACTTGGTGACGTTTGTGAAATACACGCGCGGCAGTGGCCGACGGGTGACGTGTGTAGAAACTGGGAGCTGCGGGTTCTGGCCCCAGCTCTGCTCCTGGGTACTGTGTGTCCCTAGCGAGGCCGCTTTCCTCTGAGCTTGGCTCCTTTACTGCAAAAGGGGTGTCGAGGACCACAGGAGGCCCGGCACACAGAGGGACCACCCATCCTCACCCCAGTCCGTCCCAGCCGCAGAGGACTGGCCCAGCAGGGCACCTTGCAGAGTTGCTAACTGCCCCCTCTCTGTTTATCCTTTTGTTTGAAGAGACACCTGTCGCCGGAGGAATTCCAGGATGTGTTTGGGATGAGCATGGACGAGTTCGACCGCCTGGCGCTCTGGAAGAGGAACGACCTCAAGAAGAAAGCCCTGCTGTTTTGACGGTCGCCAGCCTGCTTCGCTGCGCGTGGGGAGACTGGAGAGAGGGACCCCCGCGAGAACCATGCGAACACCCCCCGCCCCCCCACTGCGCCTTGCTCAGGCTACTCTGTGTCGACGGGGCTGGCAGTGGGCGCCTGAGGGGGCTGGGCCGGGGCCTCCGGGTGGGAGGGGCCCCTGGCAGGTGCAGCCCCTGTTTCTGCCACTGACCCTCCTGCCCGTAGTCTAGGGCCAAGACGGCTAGCTTCGCGCCACCCTCCCCGCTGTGGCCTGGCGTCGGGGATGCCACTGAGTCGCTGTCACAGGGGATCAGATGGAAGATGCCAACAGCCCAGATCCCCAGCGTCCTCGAGGTGCCCCGGCCCCTCGCGTAGGCATGTGGGGTACAGAGGTGGCCAGGACGTGAGCTGTGATGACGGACACTGACACCACCTTGGGGAGCATATGGCTCCTCAGGGCGGGGCAGGCTGGCCTCGCAGGCACACTCACTGGCCAGCGCAGGGAAAGGGCTGCCAGCATCCCGGGCAGTGCCAAGCCTCTGTGACGGGTCTCTTTTTAGGGACAAACATCAACCTGACCGGGCACCTCCCGCCGGCACCACCTCCGTGCACTGCGTTCTTCCAAACCATCCCCTAGATGCCTACGTGATAACTTTAAAGTAACACAGAAGTTTTTATTTTATTAAAAAGTATAGCCTACCTAAACGTAAGACGACATATATAAAGAGTTTAATTTCACGGTCCCCTGGCGGGGAGCGCCTCCAGCCTTACTCACCACTGCTCAGATCTGTGTGGTTTCTGTCACTTCTCAGTGTGTTCCTCATAGACAGGACTCCTTGTCTGTTTTCTTTTTTGTTGTTTTTTTCTTTTTCACATGTCACATAGGTGTAGCCTTAAAGACAGACCCCTCTCCATACTGCTGTTTGTAAATACGTGTGAAGTATAGCTGCCACTGTTTTCCTTGCTGTTATTTTTCCAAGTCTTGGAGAGAAAACATCCTCCTCCGATGGCCAAAGCCCCGGAATAAAGGACTTCCACGTACCCAGCCTAGCCCCCGACGTAGCTTGTGCTGTAGCGTCTTTGTGCCGTAGCCAGTGGTGTCTCACCTTGCCCACCTGAAACACAAACCTGCACACGTCCCAGGAGCAGCTGGGACATCCCAGGAGCTCTTGTGCATGTCCCTGAGACAGACACCCACACGCTCTTGGGGACAGAGAGGAGGAGATTTGCCCTCTTCTAATCTTTGAAGCCAGCAGAGCACCCCGTGGCAGAAGGCAGGTGGGCTCCGCAGGTGAAAGGCGTGCGCGTCTGCAGCCAGGCGCGGGGTAAGGTCTGGTGCCTGCTGTTGCCAGATGCTGATGTTGCTCACTGAGAGGTGGGTGAGACACCAAAGTCTGTTCCCCAGTCCTCGGTGGGTGTTGCCTCTGTGTGTCCTGGCTGTCCCCACACGCAAGTGTGAGTCGGACTTGCTCAGCTTCCTCAGAGCCTGTAACACGCCAAGTCTCATCTTGCACTCTGCTCGGCTTGTCACCCTGCCGGCTTGGCCACGAGGGGGGATCTTTAGCACCCGATTCGCTTCCCGCCGTTTAGCAGTCAGCCTGAGCAACTGGAAACCCCGTTTTCTCATTAGTGCGGCGTCATGTCTGATGTCAGGAAGCCTGGAAAAATAAAAGGCAGCGTATCATGACCTGCCAGAGCACAAAGCCACTTGTCATGAACGCGTGTGATTTCTGCAGGCACGGGGTGCTGCACTCAGTGCTTGGGGAGAGCGTCTGTGTGCTCGGGGTGGGCGAGGCCACAGGGGGACCCGCAGGACGGCCCTCCGCAGGCAACAAAGGAAGGATCCAAGCCTCCCTGTGCCCCAGAGCCCTCGCCCAGGGCCGGGCACTGGGCATTGATGGCAGAGATGAATGGGACCCGACGCCTGCCCGCCCCCAGGGCTGGGGAGACACGGGCAAGACTGATGGCCGCTCTGTGGAGCAGTCCCCAAGGGGCCCCCAGTGCACCCCCCAGGTCAGAACAGGCTTTCTCGAGAAAGCGTTGCCCAAACTGAGTCTTGGCAAATGGTAGGTATTCTGCGAAGATGATAAGGGACAGGCATTCCAGGCAGATGGAACAGCAGGAGCGGAGGCACTGAGGCTGGAATCAGCCTCACAGGTTCTGGAAACTTTGGTCGTTGGTTACATCTGAGCGTAGGGCTGAGGAAAGGGCCAGAAGGAAAGAGAATATGGGCAGGGCCCCCACGGTGGGGAGAGGGAGGCAGTGCCATCCTGGGATTAAGTGTTTCATTATATCTAATCTTACTCCAATGACATTAATGATTCTTATGAACTTTGGGTTTTCCCCCAAAAAACCTGTCCACACACACACAAGCTGCCACCGCCATCTGTGCAGCTCTGCAGCCAGAGATCGGCATTCTCCGAGGGTCCCCCAGCCCCCAAGGACGACCGTCAGCAAGTCCTGGCAGCTCTCGAGCATCAGCCTACGTCTCTCCAGTCGCACAGGTGCCGTCATGGGGGTCTGGGCCGGGACATTCTGAGAGCAGAAGGTGGCACGTGACCAGTGATCCTGGGGCACAGGTATGAGTCTGGCCACCACCCTCCAGGCTCCGCCCTCTCACAGCACAGGCCTCCCCTCAGCCCCCTCCCACTCTCGCCTGTGGGCAAGTCGTGTCTGCCCAACAGCCAGAGGCCAGAGTGATGCCGCGAAAACATCGCCTGGATCCGGCGGAGCTCCCAGCGGCTCCTTCCATGGCCTCGGAGCCAGGCCTTATGCAACCCCCATGCCCCTCAGGCCCCGTGTCCATTCCCTAGGTCACAGCCACTGAGGGTGCGCTGACTTCCTCTGAGACCCTGAGGCAGCAAGCCTTCCAGCTTGCACCCAGGGTCCCCCCCAAGGGGCTCCCCCCACCGACAGGCCCCTCTGTTGACGCAAACTCCCCCACCCATCCCTGGCCTGCCAGCGTGTCAGCATGTTTCTTTTTCCGTGGTTTATTGGCGTCTTCCTCCATCGAGGCTTAAGCCCCGAGGGCCGACAGTTCCATAATAGTGCCCTGTGAACCGGGAACAGCCTTGGAGTGTTCTGCAAGGAGACCGGAGCCCGTCTGGATTCCATGCTAAGCCAGGGGCTCTCCGGGCATCAGCACTTCTAGGACAGTGCTGTCCAGTCACATGTCTGCAGTGATGGTGTTCTCCATCCACGACACCCAACATGGCAGCCACTCGTGCTTGAAATGCGGCTGTGTGAGTGAGGAACCGAGTTTTAAATTTAATTCATTTAAAGTTAAAGTTAAATAGCCACATGTGGCTAGTGGCTGCATGTCAGTGCGGGCCTAGAGGATTAGAGACTTGTACTGCCCTAACCTGGGACAGGGACTTCCACAGGAGAAATTGTCACTCTTGGCTAGCAATGTTCATCGGTGCCCAGACTACAGGATTTAGAGCTCACGTGCTGAGTGCCCGTTGGCGCCTGGCACTGCCAGGGGTGTGGGGATTGCAAGCACAGCCCCTGCCCTCCAAGCTCACGGTGTCTGCGCCTGAGCCTCAGCGCCCCCGGCTCCGAGGACCTGCCGAGTTTGGCTCCATCTCCATCCAGCCTTAGTCTCTGCCAAAGGCACCAGTTTTCCCAAATCAGCACCAGCCTGGACCCGTGTCAGGAACCCCTCCCAGGACGGTGGGGCAGGGAGACATCAGAGCCGCAGGGGCTCCTTCCTGGGCCCTTCTCCCCAGGGCAGCTGCACATTCCGTGCTACTCACCCAGCGTAAAGCTCTGAACCTGCTGCAGCCAGGCCAGGTCTCAGACCTGGCCAGGCCAGGTGTCAGACCTCCCACAGCAGGTCTCAGTGTTTGGCTCAGAAGTGACACGTGCCACCTCTAGTCATGGCCCATTGGCCAGAACTAGTCACATGATTCCACCCACATGCGAAAGTGTCTGAGAAAGGAGAGGGCCAGAGCCGGGCGAGCGTCACTAATTCTACAGCTGAGGCTACGCACACACGTCTCCTCTTCCCCAGCCCCAGCCCCAGTGCTTCCTGCGGTTCTCCATGTGGCTCTGTTTGGAGTCCTCAGCTGCCACTGTCCTCTGCAGGTGAGCCACCCACTCATCGTCCGTGCAGGTGGCCCCTGAGCCATCTGCAGAGTGGATACCTGGTGGCCCAGGGCAGTGGCTCGGCCCCACAGAGAGACTTTGCTCCGCTGGGGGATCCAGCCAGTCCGAAGCTCTCTCAGGGAGGTCGATAGTGAGACACCCAGGAACTGCGGGGAGCAGGGGAGCATGGCAGAGAGAAGGGGCAGCGAGAGAAGCTGGTCAGGAGAGGAGGAGGCAGGGGCAATGGGGAGGTAGATGGATCCTGTGGAGCCGAGTCACAGTAAGGTGGACGTCCCGAGGGGTGGACCCTGCTGACTGCTTGGGCTGTCCTTAAGGCCCCCCTCCTGCCCTCTGGGCTCTGAGCCAGTTGAGAAGGACATGAGGAGAGGAATGATGACCTGGGGACAGGAGTAGTTTCCCTGAAGCACCAGTCTCCAAACCCCTAAATGCAGAATTTCTTGAACAACTGAGTTGGAAGATCAGAAACATCTTCAAGGGTGGTCTACCCTTATCCTCACTCCAGAGCGGGGCCCAGGTCCCTCCAGGGCACAAGCTGGTGATGCTGGGTGAGGTAGAAGCACTGGCACCCAGCCAGCTGCAACGGGGATGAAGCCTGCCTGCGAGCCCGCCCTGGGGACCGTCTCCAGGACCACAGAACCCAGCCCCGCCCAGGGCCTGCCCAAGCTCGGTCACCGTGGGAGGCAGAGAAGAGAATCATCACAGCAGTCATTTGTCAACTCTTCCTCTCCAGCACTTGGGTCCTCAGATGATCAGGAGGCAGATCCTTCCTGAATCCCCACTTTACAGATGAGGAAACTGAGGCACAGAGAGAGGCGATGTAACATGCATGAATGGGCCCAAGACCCGTTTATCCGATCCACACCCACACTCTGGACTGTGATAAGATGCATCATCTTGCCTGGTGTTTCCCTGCCCAAAGGGCCAGGAGCAGACCTTGACAAGCAGGTCACTCTTAGAACAGGCAGGTGGTGGCTTGGCCTCCCCATCCCACAGATCGGAGGAGCCCCTTGAGTGCC